AAGTGGAGGCCAGCTTCCCCTGGAGCACAGGAATGGGGGCCTTTAGCTTTATAAAAGTGCATGCATACTTTAGCTACACAGTCATCTCAAGCTTCAGCCCAGGACAGTGTCACATTATTTGCAGCTGTATCGCATCATGAGGTTGCTTTGTGCGTCCCACCCTCTTTCACAAGGCAGAGACTTATCTCTTCCAGCTGTAAGCCAGAGGGAGTGGTGCTGCAGATTCCTAGCAACACATGCAGACTCAAACAACACAAGCGGTTACCTCTCTTGAGTAGGACATTTAGGGCACCAGAACTCCATTGCAATTCACTGATGGTTTACTGGATATAAATTCATATGCCTTCTGTAGCATTATGATGGGGACTACACATTTCCCCTGCTACTTTCTTCTGGTATTCCTGTATCACTGTTTGAGACTGGGTTGGACTATAGTGCATGGAAAACTGGTGGCAGAAGTCTTGTTCTGTATAGTGGGTTGGAGGTATGCTGAAAGGCTACAAGGGAGGATTAACTAGAGGTGTAATGTGTTGTAGTTAGAATGATTTGGAAGAGAGGAAAGTTTGAGCTGCTTTAGAAAACCTGAGAGCACTGCTAGAGCAGGAACGTTCCAGATGCTTGTCTCTGATACTGTTCCATAGTGATCCACGCCCTGAAAGAATCAGATCATCCTTGCCTCTCCTACTTGGATGTTTAGCTAGTGAAATTTGCCAATTCTTGATATGGACTGTGAGATCTGGATGGAGCTTCTGACCTCATTTAGACCATTGTTCTGAACCCTGAATAGAACCAGAAAAATTAGAAAGAGGAGTAGAGTTGGGGTCTTCATTTTATGAAAAAAGGAGGATATTAGGAAACTAGGTCAATATGTTAAGACACAATTGAAAAGAACGATTAGGTAGAAAGGGAAAAAGAAGAGAAACCTTTTGCCAGTATCTTCTCCCAAGATGTTTGGTTGGCACATAGCTCACACTCAATACTTTTGTATAAGTAAATGAATGAAAGAAAATTTGGGGTTGGAGGTTTATCCCTTGGAAACTGCTACAGGCTGGTGTTAAGGGGATCATGATCTGCATTTGACCAGAAGTGCATTTCTGTGTCTCTACATTGTTTATTTTCATAAAGGGCCAAAGGGACTCAATTATGAGTATGTGTGAAGGAATTCCATGCTAGCTATTACAGGAAAAATCTGATTGCAGTGGTGAATGGTGTTATACCAATCTGGAGGGGAGGACAGGAATTTGTTTCTTGTGGATTACTTCCTCAAGACCACTCATACCATGAGTTAGCTGAGAGCACCCGAAAAGGAAAGCAATGATGACTGGAGGAAGGAGACAAAGGAAGAACCATGACTTTTGGGGGAGAGAGAATAGAGGACAATCAGAGTGACGCAGACAAATCAATTTCCACTCACCGGAAGACAAGGTCCAGGGAAAAGTTAATTCACTTGGAGAAGGAATCCGTACATATAGCCTTTCAAGACACTTTTAGACACTTTTAATTTATTGTATACCTTTTGTTGGTGTTTATCATAAACAAGAGACCGACAAATATATCCCAGAGGTGAATTTTGGCCTAATTGACCATAATAGTTATTAAATAACCCCCTAAAAGCCCACAAAGTGGAATGTAGAAAGATAGATAAAAAATACAAGACAACACAGGTTTTTACACAGAGTTTATACTTGAAGTTTAACACAAGAAACACAGGTTTTTACACAGTTTATACTTGAAGTTTAACATGGAACAAGAAACTTTATTTTGTACAATTTAAGACTCAATTGTACTTCAATGTTCATATGAATCACCTGGGGATTCATAGATTGGGGTGGGGCCTGAGATTCTGCATTTCTAATAAGCTCCAAAGAGATGCTGATGCTGTTGGTCCTGGAATCACACTTTGGCTAACAAGGACCCACACAGGTTCTCTTTAGTAGGGGTTGGTAGCCACCTGTGGTTAGGTGTGGGTGAGGGCTGTCTTCTTAGTCACATCCTGGCTGCCAGGTTATAATGAAAGCAAGTCTCAGAACAAGCTCTGTCACATAGGAACATTTATTAGCCAGTGGGCACCAAACAATCTCACGGCCTGTGCCAAAGGCACAGTGAAGTTACAGCTTGGCCTTTTTTGAGTTCTCATTGTTAAAGTCTCACAGTCTGCACAGGCCACAGTCCTCTATCTTAGTGGTTCTCAAAGTGTGGTTCCCAGACCAACATTATCAGCATCACCTGGAAACTTGTTAGAGATACAGATTCTTAGACCCTCTCTGGACCTGCTGAATCAGATAATCTGGGGTGGGGCCTGGGAAAACTGTATTTTTAAACTAGCCCCCCAGGTGATTCTGATGTATGCCTTAGTTTGAGAATCATTGTTCTAGCAGAAAAATTATGTGAACCATCTAACTGAATTCAGGCAACTGAAAATCCAATGAACCACAGCTAGACATTTTGGAGTCTAGCCTAGGGCACCATTTCTAAAGATGGAGGGCCTGCTAAATTCTTCTTAAACCCTGTTAATATAAGGGCGGTGAATGTTTCTAAATCTTTTCAACAATCCTCATATTTTACCAACCACTACTATCACCAACACAAGCCCATCTAACATTAATTAGGATAATTAATGAAACCCCTGGTGTAATAGGAGCTAAATATAGCTGAAGCATTTACAGTGGCCGCCTCTGGAGTGAAGCGTTTTGATTAATTGCTAGCCAACCACCCCTGGAGTGTATATTCCCGATTAAGACAACTGACTGCCTCTACAGTGTAGCTTAAGCTAACACACACATACATCATATTGTACTGTCCACATGAGAGGTTTTTTAAAGTCTTAAATTTTACTTTTATTAAGGCACAATTTAAACACCATGAAATGCTTTCATCTTAAGTGTACAGTTTGAGTTTTGACAAATGTATGATACTCGTATAACCACCCCACCAATCATGATGCATTAATATTCCAATTACCTAGAAAATACCCTTGTGCTCCTTTGTGGTCAGTTACCCACCCGCACCCCACCCCAGGCTACCATCTGTTACTATATAAGTGAGTTTTGCCTGTTCTAGAATTTTATATAGATGAAATCAAACAGTAGATGTACTGTTTTGTGCCTGGCTTCTTTTACCTAGCTTAATGTTTTTTTAGATCAATTTCAGATATCAATTTTGTTATCAGTAGTCAGTTCCTCTTTATTGCAGAGTAGTGTGACTATACCCCAATTTGTTTATTACCATGTGGGTTTGTCCAGTTTTGGGGTCTTTTTTTTTTTTTTTTTTTTTTTTTTTTTTTTTTTTTCCGGTCCCGTGTCCGGCAACGGATCGCAACCCTCAGTGTCGCCCCCGTACCGGACCGGGACCGGCAACGGGATCGCAACCCTCGGTGTTGCCCCCGCGCCTCGCTCAGCCAGTGAGCGGGAACCGGTCTGTATGTGGGATCCGAACCCTCGGCGGGAGCGCCTCCGCACTTCCCAAGCGGCGCACTAGCGCAGTGCACCACCGGGCCGGCCCTAGTTTTGGGGTCTTATGAAGAAAGCTGCTGTGGACATTCATGTACGTGTCTTTTTGTGGATGTATGTTTTTATTTCTTTTGGGTAAATATCGAGCAATAGACTATTTGGGCCATAAGGTAGATATATGTTTAATTTCATAAGAAACTGCTAAACTGGTTTTCCAAAGTTGTACTATTTTACATTTCCACCAGCAGTGTATGAAGAATTCCAGTTGCTCCATAATATCCTTACCAACATTTGGTATTGCCAGTCTTTTTCTATGTTTATGCTGAATAATTTAAAATAAATTACAGACATTATTTTCTTTTCCCTAATTTAAATTCAGGCTTTTATGTTTGGTCTCTGCAAAGGCCATAAAGCTAATAATGTTAACCCAAATGACTTGGATATAGATTAAATTATTATCCTCTACTAATGCCTCATTAGAATTGGTTTTGTGAGTGCCATTTGATGATAGCAGTTAGTCGTGTTTGCCAGTATGTTTTTTCTTTCTTTCATTCTTTTGTTCATTTATTCATTCAGTTGGTCAATCAGTCCCCTAGCTGTATTAGACCTGCTTTTTCAGAGAGAATTGTATATTAAGTTGGTGGGACATATGACGGAAGTGGGTGACAGGGTTCTTGTCTTCAAGGAGCTTTTTGGAGCTGGATTCCTGAAACACGTACATACACAGAAACACTAGAAAAGAAATGTAGCCCAGTGTATATCAAGACTTGTGCAGACTTGAGTAAGGCCGTCGTCTAAATATAGCTTCCTGCTGGGTGCTGTGAGTCAGGGCTTGATAGACAGCTGACTCTAGAAACCACAGTAGCATAAATAGTTGAGTTGCTACTCTGTGCTGAATATTAGAATGATTGCACCTTAGAATATAAAGCTAGGTATTTATTTAAATCTCAATTTTATTTTAAGATACATCTCACACAGAGACACACATACATGTTGGATAAAAAAATACTCAGAATGTTAATAATGCATATCTTTGGGTTATGGGATTGTGGATGATTTCTTTACTTGATTTTATATTTTCTTTTAATTTCTAAGTTTTCCATAGTGGGCATACATAACTTTTATAATCAGAAAAAAAATGTTATATTGCCGCTTGATTGTTTGCTAAGTTCTTAGCTATTTCGATACTTTGTTCTCTTTAATTTTGTGCAGCAGATATTCACTACGGTAGATCCAGATTATGGTCTAGGAAAAAAAACCCTGCCCTTCTTCACCCTCTTGGGAACAAGGACTACATGAATGCCCTGCAGGCTATACCACTGTAATCCTTCACAGAACTTAGCTTTCCTGATTGTCAAAGGGCAAAAGCATTTTTTATTCTTTACCCATATCAACAGAATTTCACCTGCCAAACCTTGGAGCATAAACACAAACATTATTTTCTAACCTATTTTTGTGGTGGTTGTAGCTGTTGGCAAACCATTGGGGATTTTTGCCTATGCTTTCTGATGAATAACAAATGATCTTTGTTTTCCCCCTTTTTTTCTTTAGCCGACCTGAATAATGTCAGGTTCTCAGCTTATAGGACTGCCATGAAACTCCGAAGACTGCAGAAGGCCCTTTGTTGTAAGTATTAACCAGTATTTGAAGATCTTGGTCATTTTTCTTTGCTAAAAAAAAGTGGGTTGGGAGTATTTTTCCTTGGAGAGGGAAGAAATAGTTGTCACAAGCTCTGTTGCAACATAGAATTCATTCTTTTAAGTATCTTTGGCCCAGTGTTTGCCTAGACTATTTGGTTATATTGTTTAGAATCATTCTCGCCACCATTCCTCAGCTATTGGTGTTGAATTAATAAGATATTGATCTTTTTTGTTTTCCAGCAAATGGATTTGGCATCCATAATTATCTTTATGAAACTTGCATTACGTCCCCCTATTCTACTTTTGTTTTTATTTTTGACAAAATGTATTGAGTATTAAAAGACTGTAACTATCTTATCCAAACCAAAGTTCACAGATGTTTCTGGTTTATTAGCTTGAATGCTAATGTTCAGATGAATGCTGTGATAGAGGAAAGAGGACACTGTTTTTCTCCTTTTTTTTTTTTTTTTTATCATATATCTGTGGGAAAATCCTAAAATGTTATACAGCTCTATCTGTTCATCAGATAGTTTATCTATAACTCTGTGTTCTCCACAAAGTGAATCATGGTGTAATACTGTTTGAGTGTCTATGTGCATTGATGATATGCCCATGAAAAAGACAGGCACAGTCCCTACCCTAATGGAACTTGCAGTATAATGAGGGATACCCAGGATGTCTGTAAAATCTGTAGACACAGGCAAATGTACATATAAGGTCATCAAGGTCGTCTACGTTGGTAAAAAAGTAAAATAAGTGATATTGCCTCTATTTCCAGGCTTTCTGGGCACACTGAGGACAAGTAAAGAGACAATTTCAATGTCATGTATGTAGTTGTGTGACAGTGGAAGAATAGGGTACTATGTGAATAGCTATCGTGTGAGGTGAGGTGCAGAGAAGGTTTGCTTGAAGAGGTGATGTCTAAGCGAGGTGAGCCCAGAAGGGTAAGTAGAGCTCACTGTAGGAAAAATGTTCTAGTAGAAGAAAGAGCAAGTGCTGAAACCTGGAGCTCGGAGAAAGCACAACACACAAGCTGAAAAAGACTACAGCATGGCTAAAGCACAGAATCCCAGGGAAGGGCTATTGTGAAATATTAGGCTAGAGAGAGAAGCAGGAGGCAGATTGTGAAAGGCTTTTTAAACCCAAGTTAAAGAATTTAGAGGTCAGTGGGGAGCCATTCAAGTGATTTTTGGCAGGAGGATGACATGATCGGATTTTCATTTGGAAAGATCATTCTGGCTGTGGAACAGCGCGTGAATTTTGGGGGCAACTGACAGGAGAGAGACCTGTTGCAATAATCTAAACCAGCAACATGGTGGCCCGGATTAGCAAAGGAGGAATGGAGACAAGTGGAGAGAATTTAGAAATACTTAGCAGGTGGATTTGACAGGCCTTATTGATTTATTTGATGCGGTGGGTGAAATGGAGTCAAGGAAGACACTTGGGTAGTGGCTTGGGCTACTGGGTGAATGGTGGACCTGCTTGGTAGAGTTGGACGTGCAGCTGTGGTGCTCAGGAGAAGTATACAAACAATATTTAGCAGTCGTCAGCATGTAGGTGCTGCTGTAACCATGGAGAGGGTGAGATGGCTCAAGGAAAGTATACAGTGAGAAGAGTTATTTAGGACAGAGGATGAACAACCTACAAGGGGGACTGCAAAGGAATGGCCAGCAGGGAAGAAGGAAAATCCTGAGAGGTTCTAGTGCCACATACTGCATGGGAAGAAAGGAGAGACCTGTCACCAGGGTCAGATATTGCTGGGATATCAGAAGGAAGTTGGGGAAAGTGCCCATTGAATTTAGCAGCAAGGAGATCCTTAGTCGATTTGGTGAGATTTTTAGAGGCACAGGGAAGGTGGTGCAGTGAGCTTAAAAGTGATTCAAAAGTGGGAATGTAGACATGGCTGGTGTAGACAATTGTTGGAGAAATTTAGTTTCGAAGGGGAGGGAAGGGTTGCGGTAGCTAGCTGGAGGGGGCTAAGGAGTTGAGATGTATAGAGAGGTGAGAGATACTTAAGGGTATTTGTATGACTATGAGAAGAAGACAGGGCAAGATTGAAATTATTGGCTGAAGAGGAGATGATAAAAAATGTGAGTTTTTGGAGGATATGGGCAGGTGATAAAGAGCCCAAGAGAGGGAAGAGATACCTCTCTTCCACTCTAATAGGTGGGTAGAGAGAAGCATTTGTGCAGGTCAAGGTAGCAGGAAGGTGGGATGCCCATCTATTTTTTTTTTTTTCCTTTTTGTCTTTTTTCGTGTCCAGCTACGGACCGCAACCCTCAGTGTCATGCCCGTACCGGACTGGGACCGGCAACGGGATCGCAACCCTCGGTGCTGCACCCGCCCCTCGCTCAGCCAGTGAGCGGGAACCGGTCTGTATGTGGGATCCGAACCCTTGGCGGGAGCGCCGCCGCACTCCCAAGCGGCGCACTGTAGCAGTGCACCACCGGGCCGGCCCGGGATGGCCATCTAAAGCCTTCTGTTTTCTATGTGAAGTTGGGAGAGAGTCCTGGTGATGCAGTTAACAACGGAAGGTGATAACATTGAAGTTGGGTATATCTTTGTGGAGAACAAAAGGGCTAAGTTAAGAATCTGCATTCCGGAACCCAGATTCAGCTGAGTGTCTTACAGCAGCACGTATCTGCAGGGGTGCAATATTCTTCCAGGCATCCTAAGGACCCAGATGCTTCTGTCCCAAGGCAGGCAGAGGACAGCTGGCCAAGGGAAGTGAGGATTTGGGCAAAAGTCATGTCTGTTAAGTCCCTGTTGGATAGGAGAAGCTATGAATTCAGGTGGAAGCTGGTCATTAGGAGGTAGATCAAGTGGCTAACTGTTGAGGGGGGTAGAGGAAGAGGTAGGGAAGGAACTGAAGGACAGGGAATAGTGGTCAGAGACAAGAAGAGCTGCACATTATTTCAAAGGTGGAACACTTTCAGGTGATTAGGTCTAGGATATGACCGTTTGAGTAAGTGGCAGAGGTGGAGTAGACGGAAATTTCCATGGAGAAGAAATAGGAAATTAAGGAACTGAAAAGCTCAAGTGATACACGAGTCACCCATGCCCAGGTTGAAATCTTCTAGAATTGGGGCCAGAACTGGGGGAGAGGGAAGGACCATGAACCCTGGCTGCCAAGTCTTCAGGTATGAAGGGGCCTGCAGAGGCTAGCAGTAATAAGGTGGTCAAGGATTTGTTGGCGTATGGTTTCTTACACAGAGATTGAGAAGAAATGTCCTAGATGTGGAATTATTTGGAAGGATAGAGTCAGTCTTTCCTCTTCGTCTTGGTATCCCCAACGCTTAGCACAAAACCTGGCACAGAGTAGGGTTCAATACATCTTCATGTAATGAATGCATGAAAAAAGTAAATCGAGGCTTCCATTTCCTTATAGCTTGTAGCCTAAAGTTGTCATTTTTCACCTATATACCTGCCAAGCTGAAGTGGTTTTCAAAGGGCTCCTCAGGCCTAGGATTTCCTTAGGGACCTGTTAATTGATCATAGCTGGGAAAAAGCAGTTTGGGGTCAGGGGAAGTAGGGGGCTGGTTGGAGGAAGTCTTCTGCTTCTTTTTCTTTTCCTGACTCTGCCCCTTTCATCTCAGAGGTACTGCTTTCCTTTGATAAAGGGCTAATTATGAGGGCTGGCTGGTTAGCTCACTTGGGAGAACCCAGTGCTAACACCTCCAAGGGCAAGGATTCAGATCCCCATACTAGCCAGCCACCAAAAAACAAACGGGGGGGACGGGCGGGGGGAGAGTAATTAAATTATTAATATTCCTGTGAGATCCTACAAGTTCAAAAGAGATAACCAGCTATTCTAGGTTACACTATGAAAAAGCCCAGAAATAGACTAAATGGAAAATCTTACAATGACTGTACCTTCCCATAACATTCCATTTGACTCTGGGTTTAGTCATTATTCAGTTTTCCTGTTAAAAATAATTCTACTCATGGGCCGAGCCCATGGCACACTCGGGAGAGTGCGGCGCTGGGAGCGCAGCAGGTTCGGGTCCTATATAGGGATGGCCGGTGCGCTCGCTGGCTGAGCACGGTGTGGGTGACACCACACCACGGGTTGCGATCCCCTTACCGGTCACGAAAAAAAAAGACAAAAAATAATAATAATAATAATAATAATTCTACTCACATATGTGTTTTATAGTCTATCATTCTGATTTATGTTAAAATTTCTGATTAAAATTGGGAGAATGGGGGCATTTGATATTATAAAAAAATTGGCCATTTGAGGTGATAACCTTGTAATAAAGTTAAGCTCTGAATGTAGAATAATTTCTTAAAATGCTCACTTTTAAACATTTGAAATTCTCAGCATTTCCTTTCTGAGCATGACTTTTCTCATATTTGAAAAAATTTCAAGTATACTAAAATTAAGGTGTATTTATCTAAATTAAGTATTGAATTTTCAGGAATGTTAGGAGGTTGCCATGCATAGAAAAAATATAGAATGAAAAGTTCACCATTCCTTTTATTATGGAAAACATGTGTGGTCACATTACTTAGTAACTTTTCAATACATGATTTAAGAATTTCCTCTTAATTTTATATTTGCTTAGGTTTATCTTCCAGGCTTTTGTCATTTCTATGCCTGCAAAGCCATGATAAAGAGCTATTGTCTGTGCTACAGGCAAATAAAACCTGCCCTGGCTAGCTTTTCCTACCAAAGGCTGCTTCTACTAACTCTTACTTTAATGAAAATTAATGATGTTATCTCAGTGATTTCCTGATGCCAGTGAAGAGTTTGAGTTACAGATGCCTCAGAAAATATGCACTGCCACCCCTATTAAGCACTTGATCTTATTTATTTCACTTCCTTATCAAAGTTTCAATATTGCAGAAAACCAAATAACACAATTTTATCCACGGTAGAAAATTCACTATTTAAGTTGAGAGCATCGCCATTGGCCTATAATGTCCCCAGCTTGTAATCGGTTAAATGTAGCATGACTCCATACTGCCTTTCAACTCATTGTG